TATTTTTAGAAGTGGGAGAGGACTAATTAGAAATCTAGATGAAAAATTTGAAGCTTAAACAATTATTTTTTCCTTTATGGTAAAAGTTCAAATAAGATGTCTTATGCTCCAGGGAATTTCCCAATCTTCCTCTGAGTTTAGAAAAACAAACAGATGCTGCTTTCTAATTCTGGATATTATAGTTCTCTCCACCAGATTTTGAACACTCTTCCTAAGATTTAAAAGAGTCTCTTGCCCTGTATGGCAAGTGGGGATTAGATTTATTTCCATGAGATTTTCATCCAAAGTTGTTCGAGAAAGTGTTTAGTTCTGAAGAGACCAAACATTGAACAAATCTACATAACTTTGTGTCATAGATTCCTTGGTAAATCAAACTCTTCTAAGGCTTCTTCTCTGTGAGGGTGAGGCACTGGTATAAGTTGTCTAGAGAAGATGTGGTTGTCCCACCCCTGACAGTGCTCAAGGCCAGGTTGGACAGGGCTTGGAGCAACCTGCTCTAGTGGAAGGTGTCCTTGCCTGTGGCAAGGCATTGGAACTGGATGAGCTTTAAGGTCCCTTCCAACACAAACCAGACTGGGATTATATGATTCTATGATTCTTCAACTGCACAGTCAAGAAATCTTTGACTTAAGATTTTTCTCTGGACAAATACCTGAAAGCAAGCACCAGTTACCTGTTCTATTATCATCTTGTTTTTATACTCAAAGGTAAAAGAACAAGCTAACAAAATTAAATATTAACTGGACATATGCATAAGGGGGTTCAGTGATTCTAAAAACAGCATATATTAATGTATTAATAAATGACTAATGAAATGATTCCTCTAACCAACATGTTTGCTTTGGATTTGCACAAGAGGTGGGTTTGGGGCTTTTTTTACAAATGCTGAAAAATTCTGCAAAACTTTACAGTGAGCATGACAGTTTCATTTCTGGACCTGGGCTCTAATCACTAAATTACATTCCAATGGGTTCACCAAGCCTTTCATCTATCTGTTAGTTTTGTTAATATTACCCTTTTGACAAAAAAAAAAACAAAAATACAAACACAAAAAACAAACCTACTTTGGATGCTCTAAGTAGGAAAACTAAGAGACTTACAGAATCTTAAACTAGCCCCAAATGTCCATCCATTACAGAATCAATAAGAATGGTTTAAAAATTTCCAGTTATGGAGTAAGTGCTTAGATACTTTTTCAATATTATACATTTAAGATATATAGGCCCTGTTTGTTAAGAGTATATATAGGTTTTAAAAGATGAGCTCAGAGTTTTTAAATTACACAGAAGTATGTTTATCTAGGTCCCATCAGATATCACAGAAGTGAGGTAAAAGCTTTACTCTGGGATTTACTTGTCAATTAGCCTATGAATCTCTTTCACAGACACCCCCTTGTCGTGGGGAAAGAGCTTGTGTGCCCTTGTGAAGTTGGGAGTTATGCTGGTGGTGGCTTATGCTTCTGGTAGGGTCTCCCATGCCAGTCAGCTCTCAAATGAAGGGTCAGACAAAGTGTGTCCATGGGCAGGATGGGCTCACTAGCCTTCAGGCAACCATCCTAGGAGAAGAACAACTCCAACTTCAAACCCGGGCAGATGGAGCTCGTGTAGCCCTGTAAGGCCATCCGTCTAAGAGAAGGATACTCTAATTAAACCTACGACCTGAGGACTTTGCTGTCACCGTCCAAGCTTGCTAGGCCCTGGCAGATAAACCTCAGGTGTAAAGGGTGAGGCCAGTTCTGCGCACGCTGTGCCTCACCTAAAATAAATCCACTGCGCAGGCCCGAAGGGTTTACCCACACTTGCAAAGCCCTGCAGCGACAGGCGAGGGATGAAACGGCAGGTGATAAGGTGCACTGGAAGTCGCAGACCCAACCCTGCATGCAGGCGGTTCAGGACATTGGTCGCTCAAGTCTGACCCAGGAGATGACAGTCTTGTTCGGCAGCATCCTGAATGACCAAGCAGCCTTTTTCAAGGACAGCACTGCTTGCTCCATATGGAGAGAGGCCTAGAAAAGGTGGCCTAACCAAAGCTCATCTCCCCCTCCACCTGGTTGGCTAGCCGCGGCCAACGGGCATCTTCTATTGCGGTCAATTAAAAACAAAGAGACAAAGGCATACACCTGCCTCCAAAGGTGTGTCCAGATTGACACTCGCATGTTGGAACATCAGAACCATGCTTGATACAGTGAACAGTGGGCGTCCTGAGCGCCGTTCTGTGCTAATTGCCCATGAATTGTCACGTCTTAACATCGATATCGCTGCACTCAGTGAAGTTCGCCTTCATGAGGAAGGTAGCCTCAAAGAACATGGTGCTGGCTGTACACTCTACTGGTCAGGCAAACCCAAAACTGAAAGTCATCTTTCTGGAGTCGGCTTCATGATCAAAAACTCCATAGCCTCCAAACTTGAAAATTTGCCGATAGGTCATTCCAACCGTATTATCTCCTTACGTCTTCCACTACACAATAAGCAACACGTTGTTCTTTTCAGCATATATGCTCCAACTCTGCAAGCTGACCCTGCAGAAAAAGAAAAATTCTACTCCGACCTGCGTCACCTCACTCAGAAAGTTCCTATAGAAGATAAGATCATAATCCTTGGTGACTTCAACGCCCGAGTAGGAAAGAACTTTGAAGCCTGGAAAGGAGTACTAGGCAAGCACGGTGTTGGCAACTGCAATGATAATGGTCGTCTCTTACTAGAGTTCTGTGCAGAGCAACAGCTTACCATCACCAACACTATCTTCCAGCAGAAAGACAGCTGGAAGACAACCTGGATGCATCCACGATCTAAACATTGGCACCTTATTGATTATGTTTTAGTGCGCCAGAGAAATATTCGTGATGTCTGCCAGACCAGAGTGATGCCTAGTGCAGAATGCCAAACAGACCACCGCCTTGTGCGTTGCAAACTTAATTTCCACTTCAAGCCCAAACCTAAGAGGGGAGGCATTCCAAGGAGGAGGCTCAATGTTGATAATCTTCAAATAGCTGCAGTGAGGGACAGCTTTCAGGCTAACCTTCAAACTAGGCTTGAAGACCAACTTATAGATTCTTCTCCTGAAGCGCTTTGGCAACATATCAAAAACAGCATCCTGCAGTCCTCCGTAGAATCCATTGGGTTCTCCTCAAAGAAAAACAAAGACTGGTTTGACGATAGCAACCAGGAGGTCCAGGAACTGCTGACAAAAAAGAGATCTGTTCATCAAGCACACCTCGCTCAGCCACTCTGCCATGTAAGAAAAGCAGCCTTTCGTCTTGCATGTAGCAAACTCCAACAGAAACTTAGAGACATCCAGAACAAGTGGTGGGTCAACCTAGCAGAAAAGACTCAACTATGTGCAGATTTGGGTGACCACAGAGGATTCTATGAGGCTCTGAAGGCAGTGTATGGACCCACATTCCAGGTTCAAAGCCCCTTACTTGGTGCAGATGGCCAAACGCTTCTTACAGATAAATTCTCCATCCTGAATCGTTGGTCTGAACATTTTCAAACCCTCTTTAGTGCAAATCGTGTAGTCCAAGGTGAAGGAATCCAGCACATTCTGCAACATCCGGTGAAAAACGAATTGGATTTAGCCCCTACCATGGGAGAGACTCTTAAGGCCATACAGCAGGTGAAAACTGGCAAGGCAGCTGGGGTTGACGGAGTCCCACCTGAAATATGGAAGCATGGAGGCCAAGCACTCCACGCTAAATCTCATGAGCTAGTTGTGTGCTGTTGGGAACAAGGCAAAATACCGTCAGACTTTCGTGACGCAATCATCGTCACTCTGTATAAGAAAAAAGGTGCCAAGTCAGACTGCTCAAACTACCGTGGTATAACTCTGCTCTCCATTGCTGGTAAAATTCTTGCAAGAATACTATTGAACAGACTAGTACCTGCTATCGCAGAAGAACTTCTACCTGAAAGTCAGTGTGGTTTCAGGGCTAATAGAAGTACCACAGACATGGTATTTGTTCTCCGACAATTGCAAGAAAAGTGTAGAGAACAGAATAAGGGGTTATACGTAACTTTCGTTGACCTCACCAAAGCTTTTGACACTGTGAGCAGGAAAGGCTTGTGGCTGATCTTAGAACGATTAGGTTGTCCCCCCAAGTTCCTGAAAATGATTATTCTGTTACATGAGGATCAGCAAGGCCAAGTCAGGTATGGTGATGCACTCTCTGAGCCTTTCCCAATAACCAATGGTGTGAAACAAGGTTGCGTTCTCGCACCAACCTTATTCACAATCTTCTTCAGCATGATGCTCCAAAGGGCTACAGCAGACCTCGACGAACAAGATGGCATTTATATTCGATATCGTACCGATGGTAGCCTATTCAATCTAAGGCGACTGAAGGCCCACACTAAGACCCTAAACCATCTTGTCCGTGAACTGCTCTTTGCTGATGATGCCGCCCTTGTTGCCCACACAGAAGCAGCTCTGCAGCGTTTAACATCTTGCTTTGCGGAGGCGGCTGAGGTTTTTGGGCTGGAAGTCAGCTTGAAGAAGACAGTAGTCCTCTACCAACCTGCACCCCAAGAAGATTATCGCCATCCCCATATTACCATCGGCGAGTCAGAGCTTAAGACAGTTCAGCAGTTCAGCTATCTGGGAAGCATCATTTCCTCGGATGCCACGATCGACAAAGAGATAGACAACAGAATAGCAAAGGCATATAGAGCCTTTGGAAAACTCCATAAAAGAGTCTGGTGTAATAAACACCTGAAGAAAGTACAAAGATCAGTGTCTACAGAGCCATTGTATTGTCTACTCTTTTATATGGGTCTGAATCATGGGTCATCTACCGTCATCACCTGCGACTCCTGGAACGCTTTCATCAGCGCTGCCTCCGTACAATTCTAAACATCCATTGGACTGACTATGTGTCTAATGTCACTGTCCTCGAACAGGCAGGGGTCACCAGCATCGAGGCCACATTGCTGAAACTGCAGCTGCGCTGGGCAGGGCACGTCTCTAGAATGAAGGATCACCGCCTCCCCAAGATCGTGTTTTACGGTGAACTTGACACTGGAAGCCGCAAGAGAGGTGCCCCAAAGAAGAGATACAAGGACTCCCTGAAACAATACCTTAGCCTTGGCCATATTGACTACCATCAGTGGTCCACCTTGGCTTCCAATCGGGAGACTTGGAGGCACACCATACATAATGCCGCTGACTCCTTTGAGAGTTCACGAAGAACTAGTCTCGAGGAGAAAAGACAACGCAGGAAGAATCGTGTCCCACCTGTTCCACCCAAGGAGACCTTCTGCTGTGCTTTTTGTAGCCGGATTTGCCTATCCCACATTGGCCTTCTTAGTCATCAGCGCGCTTGTAGTAAGCGTGGGTAAATGCCCTTCCCAAATCTTCGTTCGCGAAGTCAAGCCATGATGATGATGAGCCTATGAATTCTCATTCTGTCACAGCATCAAGCACAGTTTTAAAAAGAGAATCATTAGGGGGTTTCAGGAATACTAAAATTAGGAAGATTAAATTCCTATATCAAAGATAAAATTTTATGATTCAACTAATTTATAAGGTATCTCTGTGCTATTTAAGCCATAAACATATCACTAAATCAACTACACAGAATTTAGAAAGACCTTATTTTGACTGCTTGAGCTAAGACAGCACTTTTTCTAATAGCACAAGGAAGAATAGGAGTTAGCTAAAGATAATTATCATACGTTCAGACATAAAAAGACAACATTCTAAAAATGCAACTTTCTTGATTAGGATATTAGAAATCCTTAAAAAAAGCCAATGGAAGTCAGGAATGCAAAAAATTCAGTAATACTGAATTCCCTTATTTACAACAACGGAACTATTCCGTCAGCAGAAGACCCTAAGGTCTAATAAACTGAGAATGTGATATTCTATAAAGTATTTTGCACTGTTCTGATGCTAAAATGCCTCATGCTTTAAGTGGAAGTGCACGGGTCATTGGTTCATAATGCAAACCATTGTGGTATTTTTTAAGGAAAATGAAGGCGGAAGGAAAACAAGCTGAGCTGTTTTGTTTATACCAGCATAGGCAACTGCATTTCTAAGTATTTGATTCAGCTGAAGCTCTAGCTTTTATGCAGTTTTAGTGGCAGATGCTATAGCAACAATGAAAGTGACTGAAATACACGCTGAGGCTTTTTGCAAGTAGCATTATGATATGCAGCATACGTCTAAGATAGGAGCTATCTCCAACATATCCATCATACATAAACAAGACCAGAAACTAATTTTCAGTCCTCTTGTCTCATCCCCCAGTGTCTCTTTTCTCTTCTATTTTTTACTGGGAGGAGAGACAAAAGGTTGCCACAAGATTATTTCAATGGCAGCTTCAACTCCCCCAGCGGGTTTTCTCCTCAACGCCTGTGACTTGGTTGGCCTGAAGGACACAACAGATTTCTGAGTGTGAATCACTGGAGCATGCCACATGCTGTAAGTGAAAAATACAGTGCTACGGCAGTAGCATAAGGACATCATTTTTAATGCAAAGCTGTGGTAAAGAGAATTGTGAGTTGTATGTAGCTAGCATTTATTTTATGGCATCTGACTTAACATGAATAAAAGAAATGAACCTGAGCTGGAGTTTGGACCCAGCTCTAAACTGCCTGTAATTCAGCAATGCCCAGATCAGTGTTAAGCCCCACCTCTTATTTCATCTGCAGAGCATGAAACCTCTTCAGACTGACCATCCTAATTTGATGTCCTGATGTGCCTTCATCTGAGTTATCTGCTAGCATGGCAAACACAACAGCAAAACTCAGCAAGCTAGTCTCAGTAAACCTGTGAAAGTATCCAAATGGCACAGCCCTTATCTTAGGCCATCTGATACTATTAAGGACCTCCCTTAGACTCTTCCTCTTTTATGGAAACTTCTCTATCAAAACAATGCAGAACATACTTAGGAAAAGCCTATGAATACAAATAGTGCAAGAAAACCATGGTTCACCACCGATAGAGACCTACCTTAGCAGTTTGTGAACCAAGCTAAGGAAAGTTATCCTTAGGGATTCCACTGATAGGAGAAACAAAAGAATCACAAGGATTTGCCTAAGGTGACAAAACAAGTGGGTAGCAGAATGACACTAAATACTACTGCTTCTCCTCTTGCCTTCATTTCTGGCTGTGATTTCTAATGGGAGATTTGGAAAGTTACATACCTGTCAAAAGATAACTGTGTTTAGAAACTCTTCATAAGACTACTCATGGCTATTAATGAATTGATCAAGGATGCTGCTGTTCAACAGTTGTTCTCCCATTATCCACACCTTGTCAGTCGAACAGGTATATCTGCTTTAGTAGGCTGTTTCTGCAAAAGAAAGGAGCTGTATGCATCTGCAGGCAGAAAACATTTTAAGAGTACCTAACTCAAATAGATGAGCACCAGAACATCCACTTTTTATCCTCTCCTTTGAAGTTCCGATCTTGCTAACATTTCCCCCCAAATTCAAGTGATCATAGTAATTTTAAACACAAAGGGAGAGACTGATGCCTGAAATTTCTGTCCTCGGTAAGTATGAGCCACAGAAGTGCCAAACTCTCTTGGTGGTGCTCACTCCCCCTCATTTTCACAGACTCATAGAATCACACAATAGTTTGGGTCGGAAGGGAACTTTTAGCTCATCTAGTTCCAATGACCTGCTGCAGGCAGGGACACTTCCCACTAGACGAGGTTGCTCAAAGCACCATCCAACCTGGTGGTGTTTAGTCTTACAACAGCTGCCTTCTTTGCAGAAACTGTGCCAACAGTCACTTGCATGATGAATTTCACAACAGTGACACCCGTACATACAAAACTTGGACTGGATCCATCATTTTGCAGGTGCACTTCTCTGCACCATCAAAGCCACTAAACTCAGCTTCTGGAGGGCATGTTAAATCATGACGACACGTGTGTATGCTGAAACAGTACACAGAATAGGAAGGGTAGGATGAGACTGGGCAGCCACATAGGAAGGCAACGGACATTCTCAAGACAGGAACAAATGCTGAGAGCTGAAGGAATCCCATAGAAGCTTCTCTGGACTTGAAAGCTCCACTGGCCATGTCACACAGCATTTTGCTAGTCTAAAATTAATGGTCCTGACATGGTCCTCAGTAAAATATGTTAAAATTAACTTGCCCCTCACTTATAAAAGCTGTGTAAATAATAGAATCACAGAATGGTTTGATTTGGAAGGGACCTTAAAACTCACCCAGTTGCAACCCCCCTGCCAGAGGCAGGGACACCTTCCACTAGACCAGCTTGCCCCGAGCCCCATCCAACCTAGGCTTGAACACTGCCAGGGATGGGGCAGGCACAGCTTCTCTGGGAAACCTGTGTCAGTGCCTCAGCACCCTCACAGAGAAGAACTTCTGCCTAAGAGCTCATCTCGATATCCCCTCTGTCACGTTAAAGCCATTCCTCCTTGTCCTGCCCCTACAAACGCCTCTCCAGGTTTCTTGTAGCCCCTTTAGACACTGGAAGCTGCTGTAAGGTCACCCCAGAGCCTTCTTTTCTCCAGGCTGAACAAGCTCAGCTCTCTCAGCCTGGCTCCAGAGCAGAGCTGCTCCAGCCCTTGCAGAGTCTCCGTGGCCTCCTCTAGACTTGCTCCAACAGCTCTACATCCCTCTTGTGTTGTTGCCCCAGAGCTGGATGCAGGGCTGCTGAGGAGGCCTCCCCAGAGCACAGCAGAGGCGAAGAATCCCCTCCCTCAACCTGCTGGTCACACTCTGGGGATGCATCCCAGCACATAGTGGGGGTTCTGGCCTCAAGCACTCACTGCCAGGGCATGGAAGCTTCTTGTTACCCACCACCTCTAAGTCCTTCTCAGTTACCCAACACCTCTATGTCCTTCTCAGCAAGGCTGCTCTCAATTCAGTCTCTGCCCAACCTGTATTTGTGCTTCAGATTGCACCAAATAGTTAATAATATTATTAAGTTTATACACATTGGACCAGACTATTAGAAGCAAAAAAACACAGGTGAGAGACACATATAACTGGCATATTTGACAACTTAATGAAAAAAATTGAATTACCATTTTGCACATCTAACAAAGATGCAAGAATGCATTATACACTATATATCTGATTTTCATATGTTCCTGTGCTGCTTCTCAATTTACCACAGCATTAAGAAGTGGTGTTTGGGAATGAAAACTTAATTTTTCAGCAAAACTACAAATCAAAGGCTGCCAACCTGATTTTAAAGTTAGATAAGTTCAAATAAGAATTGTTCAGAGCCCAGCAGGAAAATAAAGTGTGATTTCTTATGTAAAACTCTAATGTCATTGGATTGCCAGCTTGTAAAGAAGACTACTGTTCTGAAGATATAAAAACACATGCACACCCACATAACCTAAACTTTAAGCCTTTCATTGTTTTACAAAAAACCAAATCAGTATTAACCTCTTGGTGAACTGACCAAACAGAATGTCATTTACCAGATTCTCAGAGTGGTTTATGCAAATGGCAGTGGTTTTAGAAGGAAGCGGTGCCTTCTTTCCTCATTATTGTTCAGGTATTACAGTCTTTATTTGTGGTAAATTTCATTATATGAAGGACAGCAGTGATTTTTAAGGCTAGTGTCAAGGGGAAAAAAAATAATATTTAATCAAGAAAATGGTAATATAATCTTTTGTTGGTCTTTGTCTTCTGGTGTCTAGGCTCTCCAAGTCCTCTATAAACACTAATGAAATAAACTTCACAATAATCACATGAGGAACAGCAAACAAATATTATTCCAAATAACAAATGAAAAAACTGAGTCACCAGGAGTTTAAAAGACTTCAAAGCAAATTAGAGGAGGGCTGGCAGTAAATCTTAGATTTCTTGAATCCAAAATATTCTAGGAAGATAGAAAATCATCAGCCTGAGATTAAGCAAAATCTCGGGTGTTATCAAAATGCTATAGGTCAATTCTTACTCTGCTGTGCAGCCTCTACTTCCTACATAGCAATGCCATTCTAGTATCTCTACTCCATCACTTTTTATAAGAACTTTGGGGCTCTGCTTCAAAAATCTGAAGCAGGAAATAGAATGCCAAATGGACTAGAGAGGTGCTAGTCCAACACAGCTCTGAAATCTTTTCACAGCTGTTATTGACATCTACAGAATCATCTCCTCGTGGAAAGGAAAACCATCCAGGTTCTAATGAAAGCCTAGATTCTGTCAGAAGAACAGCATTCACTCACAGAGACTGGCAGCTGGAACTACCTGTGTTCCCCCTGTTTTCAACTGTTTTGAAGAACTGCAGAGTGCTGCTGCATCCTTTTAAATGAAAGCAAGCACAGAGGAAGGTATTTGGAGAACACCTACTATCCCTGAAACTGAACATACGCTTCAGGTAGGATGAATGGCATTAGGAAACAAGGCATTTGACACTGACCCGCACAAGATCCTTGTCTCTGAACTGGAGAGGCATGGATTTGACAGATGGACCACCTGGTGATACCCAAAAGAGGTGTGGTCAGCAGCTTGATGTCCAAGTAGAGACCAGCAAAAAGTGGTGTTCCTCAGGCGTTGGTGTTGGGACCAGCACAATTCAACATCTTTGTTGGTGACATGGGCAATGGGATTGAGTGCGCCCCCAGCAAGTTTGCCAATGATACTAAGCTTTGTGGTGTAGTTAACATGCTAGAGGAAAGCCATGGGATCCAGAAGGACCTGGACAAGGTGGAGAAGTGGCACCACGTGAACCTCAGGAAGTTCAACAAGGCCAAGTGCAAGGTCCCACGCTTGGGTCAGGGCAATCCCAAGCATAAATACAGGCTTGGGGAGACTGAATGGAGCACCCCTTAGTAGATAACTTGGGGGTGTTGGGTGATGAGAAGCTCCCCATGACCAGCAGTGTGCACTTGAGCCCAGAAACCCCCCTGTGTGCTGGGCTGCACCCCCAGAGCATGAGCAGCAGCTCAAGGGAGGGGATTCTCTAGTTCGTGAAGCACCTCTGCTATGGAGACAGGCTGAGAAAACCGGGCTTGTTCAGCCTGAAGAAGACTCCAGGGAGACCTTAGGGCAGCTTTCAGCCTAAGGGGGACTACAAGAAATTTGGAGAGGAACTTCTGACAAGGGTGTATAGGAACAGGACAAGGGGGAATGGCTTTAATGTGACAGAGGTACAATTTTAGGCAAAGTTCTTCCCTGTGAGGGTGGTGAGGCACTGGTACTGGTTGCCCAAAAGAAGCTGTGGCTGCCCCATCCCGTCAGTGTTCAAGGCCAGGTTGGACAGGGGATGGAGCAAGCTGGTCTAGTGGAAGGTGTCCCTGCCTATGGCAAAGGGTTGGAGCTACATGAGCTTTAACATCCCTTCCAACCCAAATACGGTTCTATGACTCAATGATTCATGGTACAACAGAGGTGTTCAGAAACTTATTGAAACCTATCAAGGTTTTTGAGTTTTTCCTTTTTACTCCACTTTGGTTTCCTGCTGCTTGCCACCTATTTTATTCCTGAGCATCTCTTAAATGAACACCATACTTAGGTAAGCTTCAGAGTAGTCTGGTGATATGAACAGCTGAAGCCAGGCTGATCAGAAGACTCTTGTTTGCTAAACATCTAACTAGTAGATTCCACATTCAGTAAAAGGTTTCAGCAACCATCTAATTCCCAGCCTCAAGGCAACGACTTACTTGAACCATCATGAGAAAAAAAAGAAAAAAAAAAAAAAACCACAAAAAAACCCGTACAATAATTGATTGGAATCACAGTTTATGAACTGGATAACATCACATCTCCATGAATGCAAGGACTCCACTGCTCTGCTAGAGAGTAACTAATCCTGACACCAAAACTCATCATCCTTTTCCCAAAAGGCATCAAACTAACTTGGAGGTTTCAAAAAGGCAAGTAAGGGAAGGGTATCTGATCCTTTTCCCATGCTGGCTCTGAATGGTTTCAGAGTCAAATATCAGTAAATGATGCATTCAAGCAACAACTGTACTTTCTTCTTGTATCTCTTGCTTTTTCATCCAAAATACTATAATGAGGTTTCTTGAGGCAATCATTCACTAAGCTTTGGTGATCATGAGCAGACTGTGAAAAATCAGTTTTATTTCTCTAAATACAGTCTTCTTCCCAGCAGTTCAAGGCAAAGCAGAAATCTCTGCCGCAGGTCAAGTGAGTATCAGCATGATTTCAACTATACAGTTATTAGTTCTATTAAACAATAAAAAATGTGGTAGAATATAGGCTTCCTGCTTTATGCTGCATTTTTGAGGACTTTATTTTGGTTACTTTAAATATAATATAGGCAGTGAAATAAAAATCAAGATTATGAATTTTAAATGGAATGAGCAATAAGCTAATCCTTTTTACAAACTCACTAAAACCTGGCATAATTTTATTTTTAGGGGGGGGGGAAACAACTTTACTAGTATTTCTGGCATAGGTTTAAGTCAGGTTTCTACACTATAAATTTGCTCTCCCAACAGATCACTTATAATTTCATGGAAAACATTACTGAATACACCTGTTCTCTAGATTTTATAACCTGTGTCTGCAAAAATAAGACTGAACATAAATACATTATTTTTTATCTTATACTCTGTTATCACTAGACAATGTCTGATCTTTTTCCTTATGGAGCTAACACAGTACCTACACTGGTCACAACTTTTTCTTCCAAAATAATTTCATAGAACCACAGAATGGCTTGAGTTGGAAGGAATGTTAAAGCTCATGGAGTTCCAACTCCCTGCCACAGGCAGGGACACCTTTCACTAGACCGGGCTCCATGAAGCTCCGTCCAACCTGGCCTTGAACACTGTCACGGATGGG